GCTCAAAGCTAAGACATGACTCTTTTCTACTGGCTCTCCTGCTGCTAGCTTGCATCCATCAATCTGAACGGAGTGACAGGTGCCTGGTGCAGCAGCAACACTAAGTATTCAGTTCAGACTAGAATATCCAGAAATGTGTTAGTGTCTGATGAGCAGGAAAGGTGAATGCATATTACAAAAAGGGAAGAGAAAGATGTATATGTATCCTTACACACACTTTTTTTCTGCACAGTCCTATAATTCTGCAATCTCTGGGAACCCATTAAGGGTTGTTCCTTAACTGAAAGCACATAGCTCATTATTATTATGATTATTATTGCTTTGGTCATAAAAATCACTCAAGAGTGACTTGCAAAAGAAATACTAAAACCAATTACAGCAAACACAATACAGTGGTACCTTGGTTTATGAACTTAATCCGTTCCGGAAGTCCGTTCTTAAACCAAAGCCATTCTTAAGGCCTCCCACTGCCAGTGCCCTTCCACTGTTCGGCTTCTGTTCGTAGACCGAGGTAAAGTTCGCTAGCTACTTCCAGTTTTGCAGAGTTCTTATACCGAATAGTTCGTAAACAGGACTGTTTTTAAACCAAGGTACCACTGTACATAAATACAAAACAAGCAAGCAAGCAAATACATCCATACAAATAAAAGGCACATCAAGCATGTGTTAATGAACCTTTTGCTCTGTGCACACATGCTAGAAAGTTGCTGTTGGCCACAGCATCCCAACAAATGGAAATTCAGTAAATAGATGTGCATGTATCATCATAGATGAGAGACATTTCCTTGTAGCAACTTCAGAATGCATGAAATGGCTCCTCAGTTAAGACCCTCTTCTGACTTTATCTTTCCAAAGTGAGAAGAACAGCAGATTCTACCCCTTCTGCACCACCCAAAAAAGGAATCACATTAGAACTCAAATAAATAATCTAATTAGAATAACCCAAAGTAGATTCCAAATGGATTGGGCTGCTTCTAAATGCTCTAGAGGCAGATATGTGGCAAATCTTGTGGTCTCATTTAAATGAAGGACAACTTTTATGAACAATTTTGGGTGCCATTTTTTTTATTATACAAAACAACAATGTAATGTGGATATAAATAAAAAGCATAATCTTGTACCATTAAGAGCCCTGATTAATGATTTAACATGCATTTATTTATAATTATGTATAATTATTGTTTACATAGTGTACTTTTGAGATGTTTTTGTATAATAAAAACCCCAAAGCATTAAAAGGTAAATAATTATTTAGTTAAGATCACTAAAGAAAGGATTATCATAGCTTCAAACCACTCAAAAGTAGACAAATGTTAATCAGTCCATCAGTAGTACTAGCAACAGCTATCATGTCCTGGCATTCATGACCGAGACCTGAGCAATTCCGCCATTGATACTGATAGGCAGCAATTCATTAATGAGATGTGCCTATCTCGATCTTGTGTGTGTTCAAATGTAACAGTAAGAGACTGACTTCCAAAGCAGCCTGTATTGGAAGATCCCTTGCAAAAATAATGTGGTGGTTTTTCTTAAATAGTTGCCTGGCAACCAACCAAAGGGCGCATAGTATGAGACTGCAGATGAGCCTAAGGAGATAAGGGTTCCTATCAGTGTCACAGTGGAGAGAGCTTGTCTTCAGTATGAGCTGGCTGGCTGGCTGGCTGGCTGGCTGGCTGGCTGGACTGGTATTATCTTTGACCTAGTTCCGAAAAACAAGCAATGAACAAATAGGTGAGATGATAAACTTGTGTCTCAGTTGCACCACTTGAGATTTAAGGGAGAAGAGGTCATATGGCTGAATGCTCCTCCAATCAACAAAAGCTCCTTGAACATAGAAAAATAGATGTCAGGAAGACGGGTTTTAGCATAATTCTGTGTAATATTAGGGTGGGGTGTAAACAGCCTCCCCAAATTTTCAACCACTATTCACATGATGTGAATTTGGGAGGGATTTCATTTATTTTTGAGAATGAGATGTGGCCTTTGCTCTGATCCAGTATGGCTCTGCTTATGTTTGTACAACTGCTGGAGAATAATGATAATGGGTGGATATCCAACATTCGTCATACTCAAAGTAGTCCCTTGAAATAAACGGACTTAAATCCATAGATATCCTATCAGTGAATTTGTTCCAGTAGCCCAACAATCAAGTGAGATGGATCCTTTCATGTCCCATATATAGTCCATAAAATGTGCACCTATCATACCCATAACCAATCAGATGGAATTTCCCTTTTGTCCCGTCTGTCTTCTCTTTATCTGCACATCATGCTGATATCCTTGTTAAATTTTCAGTAATCCCCTGTTGCATAATCGGCAATAGATTAGGCCTCCTTTTGTGCTTATGCCTGTTTTTGTTCCGTCTAACACAATGGAGCCTGGATGCTGATTAGGGCCTCTAGGATTCTTATTAGCACAGCTATGAAGTAACCATGATAACAAGCATAGTCGTCATGACCTCTTAATTGGAAAGGGAAAACAGCCTGCAGCAAGAGACCTTTTTTGTCTTTTAGACACGTGTTTGTCCTTTGGTAAGACCATAGCTGAATACAAAAAAGGAAAACCAAGTCTGAGAAAAGAATGTTGATTTGTTTTGGTTTTCTGGGACATTTGCTCAGTGTTTGCACCCTAGTTTCACTGTTCTAGAAGTTCTCAATTTATCTCATTTTTTAAAGGGAAGTTGGGCAGATGTTCCCTTGACAAAAAGTGGCAAATCAAAAAATCACCTATATATTAAATTATTTACTGGGGGTGGGGCAAGTTTCAAAGATGCAATCCCGCATCCCTATTCTGAAATGGTACAGTCCCTAGAAGGCTGTGCCACATGTTTTTCCAAGCAGATTCAGCTGCCAGTTTCCCTCTTGCAACCTACTTTACAAGGCTGCTGGGGAAAAACCACAAAGGACTGTAAACAACAATGTCATATAACAACAGCATATTACCAACAACAGCTTAACATGATATTACATTGTTGTTGTTGTTGTTGTTGTTGTTGTTGTTGTTGTTGTTGTTGTTGTTGCCAGGGGCAGCTCTGGAGTTACTGAAAACAATTTCCATAGAGGAAACAGCAAATAAGATCAAACAGTTCAAAGAGTTTCAGTACCATGGACAGGGAAGGACTACAGAATCAGTAAAATCACCTCTTGCTCTTGAGGAGGTGGTGCGGTTATCATAACCTCATAAATACAAGGGACACAATTCAGGGAAATGCCTTGCAAACCATGTCGCCTTGCAAGCAATGGGGTGATACCTGGACAGAATGTGGAGTCCCATTGATTTGAATAGGACTTGCTACTTAGGAGGCTCATTGTAATCCTATGCACATGCATGCCCAGGTATGAAGTTTGACTGAGTTCAGCAGGGCTTATTTATGCATTAAAAAGAATTATATATCCTGCTTGATTGTAGTAAAACCTCTAAACCAGGCATCCCCAACGTGCGGCCCTCCAGATGTTTTGGCCTTCAACTCCCATGATCCCTAGCTAACAGGACCAGTGGTCAGGGATGATGCGAATTGTAGTCCAAAACATCTGGAGGGCTGAAGGTTGGGGATGCCTGCTCTAAACTCTTGAAACGGCTTATATATACTGCTTGATTGTAGAAAAACGCAGGTAAGTAGATACAAGAGTGAAACAATATCTGTGGTGTGTATCTAGATAAACTTTTTGCACCATGACGCAAAGCATAATACACACAATTGACAATATCAGCTTCCCATCATTACAATTAGAGATTGTGGGTTTTGTACCGATTTGGCTTGAATGGAAGCTTCTGTGCTGGAACAAAAGCAGCTTGAAGTGGTTTCTATCAAGACTCTGTGAACATGAGAAGAGGCCTGCTGGATCAGGCCAAATCCAGCATCCTGTTTTCACAGTGACCGGCCAGGGTGCCCAAGAGAATCCCACAAGCAAGACCTGAGCGCAGCAGCAGCTTTGTCATATATGGCTCCCAACAACTGGCATTCGGCGGCATACTTCCTCTGACAGTGGAGTTAAACCTTATCCATCCACAGCTAGAAGCCAGTGGTAGCCCAGAGGTGGTTTTAGGGTAGCACAACTGGTTAGGTGCTGTGCTGCAGGGGGTGCCACAACAATGCTGTAGAATGGAGCACAAGAGGCAGGGGGTGCCAAATTTTAGCGTCATACAGGGCACCACTGAAATTTGAGAGTCCAAAGTCTGCCACTGGATAGCTTCATCCTCTGTGAAAGTGTCTAATTATCTTTTAAAGAGAATTAGACACATTCACATTGGGGGCCAGCACTATAGCATATGGGAGAAAACTCCACAGTTTTAACAATGTGCCATAAAAGAAAAGTACTTTGTTTTGTATGCACCACAGTCCTAATCATAATTCTCTCTCTCTCTCTCTCTCTCTCTCTCTCTCTCTCTCTCTCACACACACACACACACACACACACACACACACCCTCTCTCTCAGATATCTGTTATTTAGCAGGGAAACAGGTTAAATACAATCACACATTTAATGTCACACCCTCAATTGTAGAAGGTAGAAACTTGTTGGTGCTGTGTAACTCAATTCCAAACTAAGTCCCGCTACAGAAATGTAATGACTGTGTATCTTTCCTGTCAAGCTCCAGGTGTTATATTCTGGGTGTTCATTTCTTTACTTACAAAAATTGTCTGTTTCCCTCCCCCTCCACCATTCCATAAAATGTTTGGGTTTGTTTTTAAAGGAAAGCAGAGACTTTGAATGCTGATTTCAGTGCTCACAGCTGTGAAAACTGCAGAATACACACAGCCCCAAACCTAGAACTGGCCCATATTATTTTGAGCCAGTACCAATGGCGAATGTGGAAGGGAACATTTCCTGTCTCCTAGCCCCAAGCATTATTTGGTCTCCTCTAAACAATCTCTAATGAAGGTTTGGTGCTGGCAGGGAAGGAAAGGTTACAGATAGAGAATTCTGCCCTCAAAGCAAATCCTCTCCTCTCTCTCTGCCTCTCTGCCTAGGATGCTGATAGGGTGAGTCATTGAATCTGTCTCTGGGTGCTACTTCAATGCAGCAGCCTTTCGGGAAAAGACTTCTCCTGCCCTCTCCAGCAGGGCTGTGTGATATCCAAGCCTGCCCACCAGTAGTTTTACTAAATAATTCATTATGCTCCCATGATAACTGAAGTATAAGGAGGGGCTTGATTTAATTTACTGCCTGCTTCAAGCCAATCGGGCGGTAAGGCTGCAGTAGAACCGGGTGACAGCAAACCCTGCTTGTATGCTGTGAATGTGAAAGAGAAGCAGTTCCGTGTGCGGGTTAAGGGGAAAGGATTGGATCCAGGAGAGCCATTGGATTAAGAGACTGGCCAGAAGGTAAGATTCAAGTGCGGATCTGGATTGTCCAGAGGATTAAGCAGCACAGTGCAGACCTTGTGTGTAAGAATTCTCCTTACCTAAGGACATATTTTCCGATTTATGGGGGAGGGAACCATGGGTGTGTGGAAGCCTAACGCATGCAGCTGGCATGTAGGCTTGCACTGCTTTTGTGTCTTTTGTCTGCATGCCCCCGCTGTCAATATCTGTAACCGAATAGCTGTCGTACAAGTAGCTGTTTCCATTGTGCATTCCGTACGCTACATAATCAGTGGCACGTTGCATTTGTGTCTGTAAAATCAAAGGAACAAAAACCAATTAAGAAAGGACACACAGACCAGCCCTTGGGGGCGAATGGAATCAGAAGGCACCCGTTAGTATTGTAATTATTCTTTTTAAAGTGGTACGCATCTTTAAAATCTCGAATGGCTTCCATCTGAAGTGTGAGACAAACCTCCCTCTGAAGGCATGACTGTACAAGCAGAGGCATAGAATAAATTAAAAAGGGGGTAAAGGGAAGTGGTTTAAAGAAAGAAACTGAGAGGGACTGAAAAGAGAGGAGGACCAGAAAAGGAGCAAGAGAAGCAAGGTGTTTCCCCCCCAAAAAAACCACCTTTCTGAAGTTGTAGGTATCTTAAAATCATGAATCAACTCTTTCTGCCCCCATCCTAAGCATATGTACTCAAGTCAGTCCAATGGGTTTCAAATGGATACAGAATACAAGCCTATGCGTGTTTGTTCCCATTCTACTCACACTCCTAAGAACGTGTGCACAGGATTGGAGCCTTACATCCTAGTATGTGGCATGTGCTTAGGATGAGTACAGATTTGCATGCGACAAGACCAAAGGCAGTGTTTATTCCTTACAAGTGCTGTCTTCCAGTGTTGATGCAAATTCCTGAAGAGCGTGTCTGTAGCCATCAGTCGGTTGCAGCAAAAAAGAGTTCTATGGCAACTTGAAGATCAACAACTATATTGTGGCATTGGCAAGAGCCTACCTGTAGCACCCTGACCCTTACGCACGTGCCTGCAACCTTCACAGATATCACACAGCATATAGAGAGGCAGAGGGCACCTGATGGCACATCACAGGGGGGAAATAGAGGAAATGCACCACCGAAGTGGGGGATAAAAGCGGGCACGTATTTGCATACAATTTGCATTGGTTCATGTACAAATGCAAATTTAGAAATAATTCACATAGTTACATAGGATCGCAAGACAACTGGCCATAGTGGGGAATGCTGGGACCAGGTGACCCATACTGGTGGGCAGGTTCAAAGCTGCTTCTGCTCTCCCTTCTTTTGGTTTTTAATCTCTAAAGCAGACTTCGATCAGACAGCCCTTCAGATAGCATAGTCACCCTAGAAAAATCGCATGATTTAAACATTGATGCAAGGTGCTTTTTTCAGTGACAGGGCAGCTCGGTTCCCCTTGTATATAGGCCTGTGTATGGGGTGATTCTCCTACCACACCTAGGAGAAACTATACACTTGGCATGGTAAGGGCATAAGAAGATCTGGGAAAAGTTGTTACCTTACAATACTACATGGGAAGGAGGGGGATTATTAAGTTGTTCTTGTTTTTATTATATATTTTGTTTTCTTATATACAAATTTAATAAATTATTACTGGGTGACCCGTAGAAGTAGTAGAAGTATTGATTAGCAGTAGGTCTGGGACATATAGAAGAAACTTACCTTAGCTTGCAAACTTCAATGCTGCAAACAGTGGTGATAGCCATTAGTTCTGTAGGCTTTTGGAAAAAAAGATTAGAGAAACTGGACACCAGCTAGGTCCATTAAGAGTTATCAGCCACAGAAACTAAATGCAACTTCCACCCTCACAAGTAATATGCCTCTGAATACCAGATCCTGCAGACCAGCAACATGGGAAGGCTGTTGCCTTCACACTCCACTTGTGAGCTTCCCAAAGGCATTTGGCTGGCCATTGTTGGAAACAGTGGGATGCATGGATTTTTGGCTAATTCAACAAGTATCTTAGTATGGTCTCAGATTTGCCCTTATATCCATCCTGGATCTCAAATAAGCTAATGATACTAATAAGCTTGGCCAATGGCCAGGGATAGTGGGAGTTGCAACCCCTGCATAGTTTTGGTGGGGAAGCACAAATGCTTCCATGCTCCCACTACACCTGCAATATAGCATGTAATGCACCTGTATGCACAGACAATGCACACAGTTCCTAAAAGAAGGGGGGAAAGGGAGAGAGATGTTGGAGATTAGCATATATGGCCCTGAAAAAGATTGGCATGTCTCACCCTGTCACTCAGACTTTGTCCCCTTCTTTTTGATGATGGCATGGAACATCAGGAAGAACTTTCTGACAGTAAGAGCTCCTCGACAGTGGAACGAATGGACTCCCTCAAGAGGTTAGGCTCTCCTCCCTTGGAGGTTTTTTAGCAGAGGTTGGGTGGCCCGTCTGTCATGGATGCTTTAGTTGAGATTCCTGCATTGGAGGAGGTGGGACCAGATGTCCCAGGCGGCCCCTTCCAACTCTACAATTCTATTATTCTATGATCTATAGATACAGATGCATAACACGTTATATTGTTGGTCAGATGGCAACACACAAGCCTAAAACCCACTTGGAAGCTGTGCTTTGCACTCTAGAAGGCATGATAGCAGCCCATTTCCCATTTCCCATCCATGCCTAAACTTTACATGAGTGTAGGAAGTGGATCTCAGCGCCTCTGTTTACAAGTTAAGCTTCGCATAAAGGTTCCCAAGCACTATATTGTTATAGAACCTGGGGATGGGGGGGGGGTCCTAAAGATTGTTTTTTTAAAGAAAACAGAAACCTTTTACATTCATTGTGCCTTTCTATAGGCTTCCTGTCTTTTAAGGAGAGGATTTAGCTGTTCACTTCTCTTTCAAATACGTTATTATATAGAATTTATCACTCCTACATTACCAAAAGAAAGCAGGCTTAGTGGAAGGACTTGAACACTGTTGTGCTCATTTTGGAAAGCCTCAGTGTGCTATAGATTGAGAATCTCTCCTCTGTGGTGAGAGATGGTAATGAGTAGGGGGCAGGCAAGCCCGGGCTTTGTGTCTTGGCAAGCAGAAATCAATGCTAAGTGCTCTATGTAATCAGATTCCATAGCATGGGGGAGAAAGTGTGAATGACTAACACCAGGATTTATTTCTGGCAGCTGCTGGTCTAGCTATACCGTCTGGTCGTTCTAGGCGGTAATTTAGTAAGGCTTGCATTTCTAAATATTTATCGCAGTTCAAGTGATGTGGATTTCATGGGCTTACGCAGAGCTATGGTGGCTTGCACATGCACAGAGCATTCCAACAGAAACCCTGCACTTGCTATCACTCTTATACATCTTACTTGTGAAAGGAAAAAAGTACCACCCAAACTCTACTGGTGGCTGGTGCCCATTATGACTGGCAGGGAGCCCAAACAGTAACTAGAGCCGAAAATAATGACAGGCAGAGCTAACTAACTCTAGTTTTGTCCCCATCCTTTCCCCTGCTGAGTTCTACAAGGGCAATGCTGAGACTAAGGAGGAGGAGGATGCTATTAGGCAGTGCCACAACCTGGACTGACTGTAAGTGGGACAGGAGGCTTGTGAGAGGCTAAGGCTCTCATTTTTGGAAAATGAGCCTCCAGAGCAAAACCCTCTCTACTAATTTTCTGGAGTCAGTTTGTGATCAATGGGGCTTCCCATCGAATAACTCCTAGGTAGTGAGCAAGATATTATTCAGAAATAATGGCTCTCTGCCCATGTAGCAATGGCAGACTTTAGGTTCTCAAATTTCAGTGGGACACAAAAATTTAGTGCCCCCCATCTCTTGCACTCTGTTCTACATTATTATTGTGGTTCCCCCTGTGGTGTGAGCACCCAGTATAGCTGAGTGGTTGGACTACCCTAAAACTGCCTCTAGTATAGGCTCCCTCTGTCCCTTCCTAGCTCCTCTCTCAATCCTAGCTGGATTATAGCAAATACCGCCCTGTTGGTGGGAGACAGAGCCAGAGAATGGGCTGCAACCCTAGTGTAAGGGACATAATATTCTCATAAATATATTGCTGCCTGCTGGGTGTTAAAGCAACAGTTTCTTTGCAAGGGTCAACAGCTGGAAACCCATTTCCCCCAGCCACATTTTCTGCTTGGCAGGTGTAACAGTTACAGAGACAGAAGTGTGACCTAATTAGCTGTGCCTAATTGCAAGAGCTTGAGGCAGGTAACAAAAAGTTATACACACTCATTGCAAATGCAATTTAGGCATATTGAAATCAAATTAACTGAAACAGCAAGCCTATGTGTACATCCTTGGAAGTCCAATTGAACACAGCCGAGTCTACTTCTGAATAAATAGGATTGGGACCATATTCGACCACTCGTAACAGGGAGGCTTCACAAAATGTAAGGCCTTGTATTTACACTCAAATGACAGGCAGCACAATATTGCTTCATTCCTAAAGTACATGAATGAAGCAGGGGTGCAATTCCTGGAACTGAAGCAGTATTTTCCTTATCTAAGGAATAGCACATTTTCTTCCCCAGTTTACCCCTGCTTTCTTTCCCTCTTTCTCCACATCCTCTGTTATCTCCCTCATGTCAAATTCTAGATAGAACACGAGCTCCTTGCAGAAGATGTCTGGCTTTTTGCTACTTAAATGGGTGCAAATAATAGCAGCAATAATGACAGTTAACAGCAGCAAACACATTTATGTTATATATACTGCAAAAGGCTGGAGGCTCTTTCAATACAGCTGTCGTAACCATTGCTTTGATTTTTTAGTACATAGGAATAGGAAGCTGCCTTCTACTGAGTCAGAAAATTGGTTCATCTAGCTCAGTACTGTATACACTGGCTGGCAGAGGCTCTTCAGGGTTATTAGAAAAACTGAACTGCTGCTTTCCCCCTTGAAAAGTGCACTAATAAAGCTTAAGGTAAAGGTAAAGGGACCCCTGACCATTAGGTCCAGTCGTGACTGACTCTGGGGTTGCGGTGCTCATGTCGCTTTATTGGCCCCCCTTGAAAAGTGCACTAATAAAGCTTAAGGTAAAGGTAAAGGGACCCCTGACC